AACAAACAGAACAAATTTACTGGTGTCTTCTTTTCCCCCACCCTGATACAGATGAACCAAATAATGTCCCACTTAGGGACTGCAAACTAGTTGCCTTTTCAGAGGATATCTCACCTACTTCCATGTAAAAGCAAACTCTCAATTTTAATTTGTCTATTGTCATCCATTCCACTCCTTCCTCATTTTCTTCCTCTCACTTTTCTCTTTTGCTCCCTATTATGCTCACTTTAATGTTTTCCTCATTCTCCAATTCCCCTTACCTCCTTCAACCTAACCATTAACACTTTCATCTCCTGCATTCCAGTTTACCTGCCTTTCTTCCCACTTTCTTCACTCTCTCCTACTCTTCTGCACCCCAACATCTGTTTTTTTTTCTGTTAACCAGCTTCTCCATCCTTACTACAAATTCAGTTTTTCATCATCCCATAATGCTTGCGCTGAAAACTACATTTGTTCTTAACTTGATGGGATTGAAGATAGTATTAGATTAAAGTCTTAAGGTTGTTTATAATGTTAATAAGTCTAAATATTGGGAGTGTTTTGGAAATTAGCAAAGGATTACCACAATATTGGTTAAAAATTGTATAATAGTAAACCAACCAGGAATCTCAAAACAGATTATAGGAGCTTTTACTGGTGTCTATTAAAAAAAGTAGACAATAGCTAAACTAAGCAATAGCTAATCTAAGTTCCTTGGATACAGAGACGGGAGAAATTACTGTGGGGATTCAGGAAACAGAGACATAGAACAAATATTTTATGTCTTCATTTTATAGAAGACCAGTTATAAAAAATAAATAGAGAGTAATCTAAGGCTATTAAGAGTGATGAAATTCATATCAGCAGAAAGAAAATACTGGAGAAACTCGAGGTACTAAATTTTTTTAAAAATAGAGATAACTACCAAGATATTGGTTTTCCAAAGCGCTCTAGCTTCTGGAATGGTCCTAGCAGATCACAAGTCAGCAAATGTAAAACTGATATTCAAGAAAGGAGCGAAGAGAAAACCAAGACCACAGGCCAATTAGCTTAACCTCTGACAGCAAGAAAGCATTCAAATCTATCAATCAAAGTTTTAACAGTGCATTTAGAAAATATTTGTATGATTGCAATACGTCATTGTAGTTTGATCAAAGAGAAATCCTATTTGACAAAAGTATTAGCATTTTTAAGCAAATAGCTAATAGGGTAGATAAGGGAGACTAATAGCAGTATACTTGAATTTCAAAAAGATATTTGATAAGGTGCTACACGAAGCATTAATAGGCAAGATAAGGACTTCGGGAGTTTGGGGTGTTACAGTAGAATAAATAGAAAATTGCTTAATGGACAGGAGAATGGTATATATTCAAGTTGGCAGGCTATGTCCAGTAGAGTGCTGCAAAGATCAGTGCTTTATACAATCTTATACAAATTTATACAATTTTCTGTGAATCAGAAAAAGACTTGTGTGATGTATCAAACTTTGCTGATGATTCAAATCCAGGTGTCAATGCAAGGAAATCAACAAGAGGCTGCAAAGAGTGAGTGGGAAATAAGGTGGCATATATGTAACATGAAGGTTTATGAGGTTATTTGCTTTTGCTGTAAGAACAGAAAAGCAGAATAGTTTTTAAAAAGCATGGATCTTGTACATGTTACTGTTTAGAAACTTAGGTGTTCCTGTGTCAGGAAAACCATTAGTATGTAAGTACAGCAAGCAATTACGAAAGTAAATAGGATATTGGCCTTTATTTCCAGTGGACTAGAGTTGATGAATAAAAAAATGATGCATTTGTACAGGACTTCACTGACATTACACTTTAAATATTGAGTCCAGTGTGACACCAACCTGATATTAGTGATTTAAAGAGAAGAAACAATTCTCTGGTGTGAGTATTAAACACTGCCAGATAGAAAACTATTTAATCTTGGTCACTGACTGTCATGCACATACATACTTGCAGTATGCAGTTGACTGTGTCATTTCCTACCCTGCACCAGATTTGCAAGCCATTCTTGATCTCTTACAATTCTGCATAAAAGACATTCTGTCAGTCCTTGAATGTTGCCAAAACTAAACTCATATCAATCTCAACCTGGTCAGTCAAATATTCCATCCATATATTTTGAAAGAGAGACTCTGGAATATGTTGAGCACTTCCTATCACTTAGCAGCCACCTTTCACAAAAGACCACGATTGGTGAGGAGTAAGGCATTTGATTTGGATATCTATTACATCCCTGGTACCTTGGACATGCTCAGCAAATTACTAAATCTGAAGAAAAATGCTGGAAGCTTCATTAGACTTACTCGTAGACAGTATGGACACAGAGGTGGAAGAAGTACTTATAATCAGTCTGATAAATATTGGTTACCACAAATACAACTAACCTCAGGAAGAAACAGCAAATGACCCATGAATGAAAAGTTATACAAGGATAGCTAGACTCTAATGCTTTTAGCTATGCAAAGAGGAACTAGATATCTTAAAAGGTGAATTTCTAAAGGGAAACAAGTGCCTATACCTGAAGTTCTTTGCTAAGACATTTCATTGCAGCTACGTCAGAGACACATGGGCATCACATGAACAAGATGCCTGGCGGGGGATTCTGTCTATTGGCCAGGGATCAATGATGATGTCAAGAAAACATTGAGGATGTACAGGGTGCCAGAGTCACCAAGCATAGAACACAAAGAACCTCCTCACCCTCATGAGATTCCATTGTTCTCTTTGTGCAGATTTGCAACAGATTTAGTCACCATTCATAGTGATAATTTTCTCCTAGTCAATGAATATTTATCCAAATTTCCAGTTGTCACACAGTTAAAGAAAATTTAGGGTGTGTTTGTAGCAGATATAATGTGTACAATATTCAGTTTACTCAATACACCTTAAGAAATCATATCTAACAGTTGAGCTCACACTACAGGCTGGCTTTTTAGGGACTTTTGTGTCAAATGAGGCATGAGCCATTAGACAGCTTCACCAGATTATCCCAGATCTAATCGTCTTGGTGCACAAATGATCTGCAATGTTAAAAGTATTTAACATGGAGCACAGAGTGACAAAACAGAATGTTCATATTCCTACATATGCAACACCTAAAAGAAATACTTCTGGATACAGATTTATCAGCAGAGATTGTCTTTGGAAGACAAGTGAGAAAAATTACCTGTTCATGTTCTGACACATATGGGACAAATTTATTGAAAAACAAGGGAGAATTAAGAAAGGATATGACAATCATGCAGGTGTGGAACTGCCTAATTTACATGTGGGACAGTGGATCAGCATCAAAAATTCTACCAAGGAATCTGGTTACTCACATTGGTATCCAAAATACCAATGAACCTATTCAGTGAACCTACAGTTTTCAAGGTAACAACACCTAGTTGAGCAGCATTGAAGAGAAACAGAAACCAATTCAGTGAAATATACAACAGTACAACTGCACATAGAACACAAAGGTTTGGAACAGCATCATGACAATGAACAACACTAACAACTTGCAAGAAACTAACACACATACCAGTCAAGGGCAACCAAATGTGAAGTCTAGATTTTGAGAATGTTATACCGTTACATGATCTGTGGAGTTGTCTAATCAGCTATATATTCTACTCTTAAGAATGGCAAAATTGACCAACTTTGTTTCGTGTAAATAGTTTTGCAACCACCTAATGTAGATATAATTTCACTCTTAGTGCAGGTAGATCTACCCTAGAGGCAGAAAATCAGGAATTGTGTTGCTGATTTAAGATTTTTGTATGCCAATGAGCCAAGGACCAGAATGACCAGCAGCCATGAGGATTCCAAGCAGCAGCATGCTGGACCAAGAATGCTTACATGAGTTGTATTTAAGTTTGCCAAGTAAACCTGTTTGAGATTTTCAAGTAAATTAAATTTTCGCTTTTCACTAATCCAGTATGAGTAGTAATTCAGCATTAAAGAAAACAATTCAAGAATAAAACTGCTCCTGGTAGTCATAAAGCCTGCAGAAGAGCGTGTCCCTTTAAATAAACAAGTTTTAAAATATTTTGTCACTGCCAAGTAAAGGTGAGCAATTACACTAGTATGTTCACCCACATCATGCAAACCTAAAGGGGAAAAAGAGGACTACATCAGCACCAAAAAATTAAAGATTAATATATGTTCAGTTATTTTAAAATAGGAAGTAGCGAAAAAATCAATATAAAATGCTGCTTTAGAAAAGCACACGTCTTGGCTTCAGATGCCTCTACATCTTTCCCCAAATCTGCAGAATAATCCGACACTAACTGTGCTTCCAGGGGATGTTTTCTTTGTTGAATCAGCTCACTGCACGCGTGAAGTGGTTTTCTCCATTCTGTTAAGACTAAAGGGAACAAAAACAGAAATTGGTAGAGACACTCACTCAGCAGGACTGGCAGCATTTGTTGACAGAAAGCAGAATTAACGTTTGTAGTCCAGTGACCCTGCTTCAGAACGAGTTTCTAGCAATTTCTGCTTTAGTTTCAGATCTTCAGCATCTGCAATTATTTGTTTTATTATATATCGAAAAAATAAAGGGAAGCTCGGTTCTGTGGTTTAAGTTATAAACTGCCTTAAAAATAGCCTATAATTAATAGCGCTGATATCGTTTGGTTCGACTTTTCAAACTATGAACTGGACATTTGAATATATAGTATATAAATTAATAAACGTAAACAAACGTGGTTTCTTTCAATGTAGTGTGTGACGCTCAGTAGTAGTTCTTTACATGTCCAATTACAGACTTTATGAAATATTCACTTTTCCAGATTTTCAGTATTTGAAAGTTTGTGCTTTCCGAAAGCCGCAGAGGGTCATTTTTTATCCGTTCGGGAGGGTACGACAGTTCACTGACCAATCAGCTATGGCCTAGGTGCCCTCAGCTCCAATCAAAGATGGTAGAATCTTAACTGTTCCGGGAATGGCCAATCAGAAAAGGATATTCCCGGCATCGTATGCATTGGCGTAGACCAATCAGAAAGGTGTTTAGAAGGGTGGCCCAAAGTTTGAATTTGGTCGTTGAGGATGCGGTGGGCTCAGGTTCCAAAGCCGTTAGAAGGCGAGAGAAAGCGCCAAATTTAAATCGGGGCTCTGCTTTTTCACGACGCTTGTCCGCGGTGTTGTGTCGGCCGTTCGCTTGGATAGACGCGGAGTAGTTGTGTGTGCCTAAACAACCCAACAGTCGCTACTTACAGCCGGACTCATAATGGCTGAGTGGAGCTCAGCGGCCGCCAGCGCCGGGAGTCTTCTGGTGGATTCATCCGGTTTCGATTCCAGGCTCGCCGACTCCTCCAAGGAGCACCTCCTGATCGAGACCGTATCGGACGCCGTGGAAGGTAACGCGGATGCTTGAATGAGGTTCCGGTTCCAATGCCCGCAAGCGGTTACGGCATGTCACTTTACAATCCCCCGGGCCTTATTGGCACTTGATAAAGATCCAAGCTCCATCAGAGGTCATCTTCAACGGAAGATGCTACAACGGCTATTCCGACAATTAAAAAATAATCTCATGAATAAATCTGTTCGAAGACACAGCACAGCTTTTAGTTTAGTATTCATACTGCCCGATGTAAATCGCTGTAGCAAACGAATACGCATACCTAGGTTGAGGTTACTGAGCTGCTCACTTGTAAGCAGGTATTATGTTGGGAGACTCAGATAGCATATGCAGTTCTTACTGGAGCTAGAGACAACACCGTGTGGAGCTGGAGGAATCATGTTAGAATCATTAAAGCTTTCATCTCAAAAAGCCATTTGGCCCATGGCGACTACATCAACAAAGAAAGGAGCCATCTAAACAAATTTCACTTGTCAGTAAAACAGTCTGAGATGTACAGCACAGAAACAGACCCTTCAGTGCAACCTATCCTTGCCGACCAGATACCCTGACTTAATCTCGACCCCTTGGCCATTTCCTTCTAAACCCTCCCTATTCACGTACCTATCCGGATGCCTTTTAAATGTTTTGAATTGTACCCGCCTCCACCACTTCCTCTGGTGACTCATTACATACACGGACCACCCTGTGTGTGAAAAAGTTGCTCCTGAGGTCCATTTTTAAGTACCACACTAAACCTATACCTTATAATTTTGGACTCCCCTGTGCTGGGGAAAAGACCTTGGCTATTCGCCCAACCCATGCACCTTGTGATTTCATGAACCTCTACAACGTCACCCCTCAGCCTCTGATGCTACAGGGAAAATAGCTCCAGCTTATTCAGCCTCTCCCTTTAGTTCAAACCCTACAACCCTGGCAGCATGCTTGCAAATCTTTTCTGAGCCCTTTTCAGAAATTAAAGCAGAGTTTCCATGCTGTATAACCCTCTAACCAAGAGTACTGGAAATCTGAAACAAAAACAGAAAGTGCTGGAGAAGCTCAGCAGGCTTGGCAGTATTTATAGAGGGAAAAACAAACTTAACAATGCTGCCAGATATGCAATTCTCCAGCACATTCTGCCTTTGCCCACTTCTCAGTGTTTGGTCCGAGTCCACGCACGTTGCCGATTTTGAAATGCGCTCCAGAGATCTTTTTACCATGAGGGTTTCTGTCTTTGGTATTCTTTCTGGCAGTGAGTTCCAGACACACTCCCTCTGGGCAAAAAGTCCTTTTTTCTCTTTTCTACCTGTGCCCCTCCCCAATCTTTTGAGCTTTTTGAAATCTATTCCTCTTAGTCACTGACCTTGCGAGAAAAATACTTTCCCAACTGCTCTATTGAGCCCTTCACCATTTTCTACATCTCCATCAAATCTCTCCTCAGCCACTTCTTTTCCAAAGAGAATAACTCCAGCTTTCCTAGTCTTGGCAAAATCCTTGCAAATGTGTGTGGCACCTGCTCTAGTGCAGTTACCAATTTTTTTAATCAGTTTGTTCAGGCATGTTATGACACTCCTCTGGAGCCTTTAAATTCTTTACGTAATGAAGTGTCCAGAATTGCACAAGTTATAAATTATTTTATGTATCATAACTTGTGTAGATTTCCAGGGTAACCTGTCTACTCTTGTATTTTATACCTCATGCTCATAAATGAAACATTCCATATGCTGCCTTAAACACCTACTTGACCTGCTTCACTACCTTTTGGGATGTGTGGTCATTCACTCTGAGGTCCTTCATTTTCTCTGCACCTTTCAATCTACACCCGAAAATTATGCATTTCTTTGCCCATGCGCATCATCTCGCAGCTGTCTAGATTGAATTCCACTTGTCACTTGTCTGCTAACCAGACCGATCTAATGATTAGATTTCTACCTCCTTGCTATCAATCATAGTCAATTTTTGGCATCTGCAAACTTTATCTTGTCTTCTGCTTTTGCATCCAAATTGTTAATATATGCCACAAAACAGGGCACGCTGTACTGAGCCTTAGAACCCCAATGGAAGCAGCCTTCCAGTTAGCAAAACAACTGTCTGCAATTACCTTTGTTTCCTGTTATGAGTCAGAGTAATATAGCATAGAAACAGGCCCTTTGGCCCAAATTGGTCCAAGCTGACCATAGTGCCCACTCAGCTAGTTCCAATTGCCCGCATTTGGTCCATATCCCTCTAAACCCTTCTCATTCATGTACCTATTCAAATGTTTCTTAAAGTTGCTATTGTATCTGCCTCAGCCACTTTTCTCTGGCAGCCCATTCCATATACACACCACTGTGTGAAGAAGTTGCCCCTTAGGTCCTTCTTAAATCATTCCCCTGTCACCTTAAACCTATGCCCTCTAGTTTTCAACTCCCCCCTCCCTGGGAAAAAGACTATATGCATTCATCCTATCTATGTCCCACATGATTTTAAGCACCTCAATAAGGTCACCCCTCATTCTCCTACGTTCCAAGAAATAAAGTCCTATCTTGGCCAACCTCTCCCTATAACTCAGGCCTACTAGTGCTGGCAACATTCTTGTAAATCTTCTTTGCACACTTTCCAGTTTAACTGTGTCTTCCATTTCACAGAGTGACCAAAAGTGTACACGATACTCCAAATGCTTTTTGACCAATGACTTGTACAACTGTAACATAACATCCCAACTCCTATGCTCAAAGCCTTGACCGATGAAGACCAGCATGCTAAATGTCTTCACCACTCTGTTCACCTGTGACGTTGCTTTCAATGAACTATGTACTTGTACTCCTAGGTCCCTCTGTTCTATAACACTCCTCAGGACCTTACTGTTTACTGTATAAGTCCTACCTTGGTTTGACTTTCCAAAATGCAACACCTCACACTTAGCTGCATTGAATTGCATTTGCCAATCCTGAGCACACTTCCCCATGTGATTAAAATCCCTCTATAATTTTTGATAACCTTCTTCACTATCAACAATACTTCCTAATTTTGTATCCTCTGCAAACTTACTAATCATGTTTTGTACATTCATACTCCAAATCATTTATACAAATAACAAAGGTGCCAGCACCGATCCATGTGGCACACCACTAGTCTCAGGCCTTCAGTCCGAGAAACAACCTTCAACCATCACCCTCTGCTTCCTACAATTGAGCCAATTTTGAATCCAATTAGTAAGCTTTCCCTGGATCCCACGCAACCTAACTTTCACGACTCGGGCTGTGCAGGACCTTGTCAAGGCCTTACTAAAGTCCATAGTGATAACATCCACTGTCCTATTCTCATCCATCCTCTTTGAAAAACTCTAAAAGATTTGTCAGATGTGACTTCCCATGCACAAATCCATGCTGACTATCCCTAATGAGACCTTGACTATTCAAATGTCACTGAGCCAATTTTGTATCCAGTTGGGAGATATGGGGAAATCTAGAAATCTTGTGGTGTCGGGGTAGCATATTTGCATGGATAGAAGATTGACTAGGCAACGTAAACAAAAAAGTAGGCATACGTGGATCTTTTCTGGTTGATAAGATATGACGATCTAACAACTAATATGTCACAGGAATTAGCACCAAAGCCTCAACTTTTAATAAGGTAGAGTAATGTCTTGCATGAAAGAACAAAAGGTATGGTTGGTAAATTTGCTGATGGATTTAAAAACAAGTTATGAAGACGACATACGGACAGAGAGAAATAGATTAAGTGAGTCAGCAACCATCTTGCAAATGGAGCAAAATGTGGTACAATGTGAAATTGTCCAATTCGGTAGGCATTCTTTTTTTTAGAAATCTCACAGTATGTAAGTGGCAAGATTGCGGAGTTCTGAGGTGCAGGGGGATCCATGCGCCCTCTTGCAAAATTTGCAGAAGGTACAGCAAGAAATTAGATAAGAGAATAGAAGATTACTGTTTATTGCTCCAGATATATGCTCCAGAAATACAGGAAACTGGTGAGTCCACATTGGAGAACTGTTAATAAATATGAGTCTCTTATTTAGGGAAAGATGCAACTGCATTAAAAGCAATTCAGGAAAGGTTTATTTGATTCGTGCCTGGAATGGGTAGGTTATCTCATCAACAAAGGTTGGACAAGCTAGGCTTGTAACAACTGGAGTTCAGAACAGTAATATCATGTGTCTGAAACTGAAAAGAACCTGAGGGATCTTGACAAGATGGATGTGGAATGGGAGTTTACTCTTGTGGGAAGGTCTAGAACGATTCCAAAAGAATTAAAATAAGGTTAGCTATGTAAGACAGAAATCAGAAGAAATTTTTTGGAAGGTCATGAATCTTTGGAACGCTTCTTCAAAAGTGAGTGGATGCAGAGTCTTTGAATATTTTTAAAAGGACAGATAGAAGTATGAGCAAGGATGAAAGATATCAGCAGCAGATAGACATCTGCAGTAAACACAGCTGCTAGAACTAGTGAATCCTTTAACTTTCTTTCTGGTTACACAGGCCTCCAAGATCCATGCACAATAATGACTTCCAGAACTCGTAAGGCAATGCCTCAATGGGCATTCAGATACTGGATCATCCTGCACATGATTTTGGAGCAGCCGTGTGCACTACCTAAACGGAACATTGACCATGTTCTAATTGAATGGTGGAATAGGTTCGAGGGGACAAGTGGCCATCTTCTCTTCCTAATTCATATAATATTTCTGTCTCCGACTGTACCCTGCATTCGCAAGTATTAAGCTAGCAATGGTAGTATTAGAATCTTACCAGCTCTGTGTCCCAACTGTACAACATATGTATGCAACAATGTGTTTCATTAGCTGCAGTAGTTTTTAAATAAGTACATCTAACATTGATTCTGAGCGACAGCCACTTGGAAAGCCACAGATTAACCAAGGATAGTCAGTATGAATTTGTTAAAGGAAAATCACCAAAAATATTCAATCAAGTTGGTCAAACAAGTAACAAAGCAGGATTGACTAGCTCAGTTGAAGTGGCCCATGTGGAACTGAGCAAGGGTCTTGGCAAGGTTCCACAT